CACATGAGCACAAAACCTTTTAACAGCTTGATCTAGAATGAAGGTCTAAATATTCTCTAAGAGAAGAGACAAATGAAGAAAGTGTTAATTTTTCTTTATACATTCTTTTTATGTCCATTCCCTCAGTAGCTCACCCAACTTTTTATCAAGCTGACAGGAAAGCAAAATATGGAAGCGAGTATAATTGTCCAGTTTTCTATCTACCGCCTGATAGCAAACTCCCTTAACCTTGTTAACTACAATTTATATGTAATTGTCCATTAATCCTAATGAATAATTGTTTCTAAACAGTTTATCCCTCAATCTACCAATCTCCTGGTCCCTATGGTTTGCATCTGCTATTCGCAGAATCCTTATTATCATAGACTTCATAGCTCCTCTTTTTACTTAATATATGCATGGCTAGACAAGATTTAAAAAGGAAATTCGCATGTGTGCTAGTATAACCTTTGTTCTCTAATACATCCCAAAATGGCAATTATTTTCCTTTTATAACTCTATGGTAGACTTAGTGTTTGTATCTATTCTATTTATTAGCTTAAGGAGTTCCCCGAAACTATTTTTACTGTGTTGTCAAACAGCAAATTAATCGTCCATATAGCGAACTAATAACTTTGGAGTTAGGAGTGTCTCTTGAAACACTCGAACTTACAATTGGGTCATGTAGTTATTAGCTAAAATAGGGGCTAAACAAGACCCCAAAGCTGAAACCCGTGTCGGCTCATACAACTTACCAATGAAGGTAAAATATGTTATATATCGCCAAATTGATTAACCTAACGATTGAACCTTTGCTTAAGTTTTTATCTGCTATGATTTTAGGGCGTTTATCTAGAATTACTTCTAAAGCCTTAATTTCCTCGTCTATTGGAACTTTAGTATACATATAGACTACATGGAAACTTACCAGCAAATCACCTCATCATCAATTAACTTAATAAAGTCGTAGAAATTCTTACGGAAAGCCTCCAAGTTCCGGGTATTGACTTAAACCAAGTACGTATAAATCGTGATGCTCTAGGCATCATACTACATCTATTGTCTGCAACATTTCTAGGTGGAGTAACTTGCTTATGGATTTTGGGCAGACCATACGCATTTGATGGCCTAGTATCTCGCTATGAAAGTGCATTCATTTTCCACTTTTCTAGTTCTCCACTGTCTACAAATTGATACAGAAGACCCCTGAGTCCTGTTCTGTCCCTAAGTGTAGTCAGATGTCGTATCATGACCCAATGCTTCTTGGATTTTCTTTGCATAATCAGTATTATAGAAACTACTACTGTTCTCCCTTTGTCTGACATTACTACTAGTTGCCGTTTTCTTTAAGTTCCCTTACAATAGTCTTAACTATCAAATTCTGGTTTTGTGTTTATACACGACAATTAAGTAAATTGACATAATGTAAGTATGAAGACCAA